AGGCAAAAAAACATGAGTTAGAGCACAGCTCAACTTCGAGGTGAGTGACAAAATGTTCTAAGAAACTCAGATCCCTTCGTAAGCTTGTTTTCTCCCAATTCAGCCTCATCTAGCTCAGGCCACGAGCTCGTTTATTCCGTCATCTACCAAAGCCCCCCCCCCCCACTTCCGCAGCTGCTAGTTTTTGTACGGTGTTCCAAGAGAAGAAACTCATAATTCTTCCAACATTTGACAGCCAAATTGGCGGTTGCTGTTAACGCGGGCCAATAACGGCTCTTCAGTTTTTTGCTCCCTTTTAGAGCGCATAAAGTGATTAAGCCTGGCCATCACCTGTCTGTCAATGCTTATAGTTATAAAAGCAAGCAATCACTGGTGAAAGTTCACCAGCGTGTGGCAGTTCACCTTCAGTCCGTCGATCCTTTCGGGATAACACTTCACTGGCTTGCGAATCACCATGTCTCGTCAGGTGCTACCTGCCACCCCGTTTTCCACCGACTCAATCGAGTAGGAGCTCACAGTCCTCATTCGTCCCAGCCGCGTGTTAAGGCCTTCCAGTGGGCCCTGTTCATTCAAGAACACGCAGCTGATCATACCTTCCGTTCAGAGCTTTCGTCAAGAAATCTGAACATCAGTGTACTGTATAAGAGCTGTAAGAAGACCAGTGACTTTTGAAAAGTATGCAAAAACAACTGATGAAATGTATTTATTAAGCGGCATGTGTATCGCCAAACGGCTACATCGAGATAGTTCTCTTCTTCTTCTTCCTATTCCTTTGGCTCCCCTTCGTATTGGGACTATTACATGCACCTGAAAGAATCATATACACAGCAGATAAGTGAGCGGATTCCGCTGGTAATTGTATCTACAGTGTTATGTATCAGTGGTCTTCTCACCTGAGGCGCCACATATCCAATCTGCATAAAACGTTAAATCACTGAAATAATCAACAACTAATGTACCATGTTGGATATGCTCCTTTTTCCCTGGATAATCCTTTGGATAGTCTGTAAGTCGAGCAATAATGCGTTACAATCATTCAATTATTCAAGAACATGTGAAGAGTGTTTTTTCTTTGGAGAGTGTGGTCAAAATAGCATGACCCAGGAAAAACCGTGTGAACAATTCTTTTTGTTTGGCAGGATCTATTCCTAGAGAATAATTACAAATATGGCACTCCTGTGCATGGAAATGGCCCGACAAGGGCGCTATGGTCGTGCAAAATTGGCTGCTGCAGCTTCAAAAGTCTCCGTTTGAAGCAGGCTGTTTGTGGCGTCTTTCCATCCTTTGCGCTCTCCCGTCTCACACTCGCCTCTCCGCGCTCACGAGGGGAGGTCGTTCAGGGCGTGGAGCGCTTTCTTGAAAACGGTTTTTTGCATGAAATAGGGGCAGGTGCAGTGAACACAGATCTATGGTCCATTTCCGCTAAATGGCCTTCTGAATGCCAAAAAAGGAGTGAGAATCATTTTGTTGGAAACTGCAGTTTTTACTGTTAAAAGTGGTGTGTTTCATTCATGGCGTGGACTACTTGCGTAATGGAGGGTCTTCTTAAGGTGTGTCTCGAAAACATCGAGAAATTTGGTCAAAATTGGAAAGTTGTCGTGGTGGTGTCATGCTGTGTGCTAAAGAGCGTGTGGAAGTTCCTTAAAGGCAAAAGTCGGGCTCAATAAGGGGGTATTATGGCGATTGAAACTGAGTATAGAGATGCGAAGTAGAACGACAGTGGAGAAAAAACTGAGAAAAACCGTCGACAAGGCCGTTAACAAAACCCTCTTCCCACTAGCAGTGAAGGAGGCTGGCTTGGGAAAGAGGCACGTACAAACAAGTTTTCTGAAGATATCAGTCGTTCTACGTTGATACGGCAATCAACCTAGCTGATCTCACACGTTATGCCAGCCATGCACCACATCCCATGGTGGGCGGCCGGAGCGCCTCCAGGCGGCGCGAGCGCTTAATGCATGCCCTGGGGCGTTATTACGGCGCCTTTTGAGATTCTGAGCATGGCAACGTCCCTGTGGGTGCGTAGCCATGCACATAGACGACTAAAGTGATTGGTTTGGTCCACTGAGCCTGACTCGTGGCTTTAAAGGACATTTGGCCAACATCCTCCAGCAGCGTCGGTGGTGTAGTGGTTAGCGATGGGGATTTCGATTGGCACGCTTGGTCTGGGTTGGTGGTTCGGATCCCCGAGCGTCGGGCTTTTTGCATTTTTTGTAGGCACTTCACGGTTTTCTCCAAATAGCACAGGTGCCAAAATGGATGTGTTATTCAAGACCAGAACTATTGATAACCCAGATTAGGTAAGTCTTCACCGAAAGCAGGCAAAAAAAAGTTGTACCGTTGGAATTTCGCCGGATAGCGGCGGCTCCAAAAAACAATGCCACATTCGTGACAAGAGCACCAATTTACCTCTGGTGCCAACGTTTCGAAGAAAATCATCTTTGGCATCTTTGGCCTAACTTCGAAAACTTGACATAAGTAAATCTTACATAAGTATTTCCACTCGCTCGGAGGCGAGCTCCGCACGGAAAACTGGCAGAAAACTACTGCACTGTGGGTGACCCTCCGACCAACACCAGCTTGCTTGTCTGCTATAGTCTATTCGGCAGGAGCATCTCTCATTTTTTGAGGACTATCTAGATGATGTCATTTCCAAGAAGTTCATCCGTCGAGCTTTACGTGCCACAGAGTTTACTTATTCATCTAGCAAATTTTCGAAGTCGGGCCAAAATCTTGATTTTCTTAGAAACATCGACTAGAAGGGTTATCAGGTGCCCTGATTACGAATACAACATTCGTTTTAGCTCCGACATCATTTCGGGCCCCTATGACGTTCTTCGACGGCACCTTGGTGAAGTTTTTGCGTCACAACTTTCTCTCACCAGTTTTTGGTAAAAGCCCACTTGTAAGGGTTTTTGTAAGCCTAATTGTAATTATGACATCAATTGCTGGTGTTGGCGTTCTTCGGTGCCAATTTTGTGGCGTCAAATCACAGTGCAAAAATTTTGTCACCGCGGGGAATCGAACCAAGGACCACTTTCCCACCCTTTTTTGGCATTCAGAGGGCCATTTAGCGGAAATGGACCACAGTTCTGTATTCCAGGCACATCCCTCTATATCATAGGAAAAACCGTTTTGAGAAAGCGCTCCACGCCCTGAACGACCTCCCCTCGTCAGTCTTTCATCGCCTTGGCACATCTGCTCATAGCCGTCCCCGCGCCGCTATCGCCACTGCCCGCCCACCACCTCGTTGTCTGACTCCTACCTTTTGGCAGAGAGCGTAGGCGTTGATGAAGCACCGATGTGGGTCGTATTACCAATAAACGGACACCAAAATACCTCGTTTATCGAGTTCTAACCCATTTTTCTCATTTTATCTTCATCCCTGCGCCACTGGCCACCTCTACGTTGGTTTTAGTGGGCTATCTTTCACTGTGACACCATTGCCACTGTGAACTCCGCCGTTAACAAGGTGAAGGATCGATTTCGACTAGTCAACCGACTTTGCCATTTGCTCAGCACGCTACCGCTACTTGCTAAAGTTACTTAAAGGAATCTTCTGCGGAGAAGCTCCGCCTCCATTACCACAGAAAAACGATACCCCTTACCAGGAAAGGCATTCAACTTCCCATGGAACTTTGAGATGAGACCCAGATATATCGATAGAGCTTCAAACGCTGATTACAAATATGGAAACTAAAACTGCAAAATGAACCTGCCAAGGAAGTTGTGAGCAGTCAAAGTTGGCTGGAAGTAAAGCATTACACTAGCCTCCGGGCTTTCAAAGTCGCCGTGGAGTAGTGGTAGTGCTCTCGGAATTTGCGCTCCGACGGGAGGAGAGCTTATGACCTCCAGGGTGAATAGCGAGGGCACCACCACTGCTCCGCGGCGACTTGAAAGCCCGGAGGCTAGTGTAATGCTTTACTTCCAGCCAACTTTGACTGCTCACAACTTCCTTGGCAGGTTCATTTTGCAGTTTTAGTTTCCATATTTGTAATCAGCGTTTGAAGCTCTATCGATATATCTGGGTCTCATCTCAAAGTTCCATGGGAAGTTGAATGCCTTTCCTGGTAAGTCTAGCCTCATGAGCCTTCTATTATATAAAGCGCTAACTTTGTGTGTCGGTTTGTGTATCTGTGTGTGTGTGTGTGTGTGTGTGTATGTATGTATGTGTGTCCGTCCGCAAAATGAAGTGAGTGAGAAGGAAGCTCATGGGATAAACAAACCGCTAACAAATCGGGTAGCTTACAGGATTTGAGATATCAATGTTTTGTAGCAGGATAGTTGTGATAACACTCTTAGGGCTATATAAACACCTGCTTAGCACACTTCCGTTCATTCCACATGGTGCTGCAGTGGCAGCTGGAGGGCAGTGGAGAGAGGAAGGGAGGATGAGGAAGGGAAGCGAAAAATCTACCGTCATATCATGATTGTGTCCCTTCTACTGTATGAAACACCATTGTGTTGCATACGCGTCACTTCCAGGAGGTGTTGGTGTCACAGGAGGAAGGGACCATAGCGGAGGATAGAAAGCTTGCGCAGGAAAGGAAGGTCCCGGCGGTTGACGGGGGACTAATCTGGTAACAAAAAAACGGAACATAAGCGTTAGTTTCGATAATACTAATCCTACACACAAGACAAAATGATCACTCTTTCCGTGGAAGATTCCTTTAAGGTATCGTTTTCTGTGGTAATGAGGGCGGAGCTTTTTCCGTGGAAGATTCCTCTAATGGCAGTATACTGAGTGATCTCAGCCCGATATGTGAGTAGCTCGTTGCCATCGGAAGGATCAGGAGCTTCATTGACCTAAGCAAGGTTTGATCTCTGGAATTGAGCAAAAGTTTGTGTGGCAATTATTAGCCGAATCACTTTTTCTCGAACGCATTCTCTGTCTCAGAAAATCTGAAAATGAGACTCACTAATATAGCAAGTTTCTCCGCCCGTATACGTTCCAACAGCTGTGCTTCTTCCTTTTTTATCGGTTGTAAATAATATACCTCCGCTGTCTCCCTGAACTCCATTAAGTCCGCTTAGCATTTTGGCTTGTTACGCTAATGGCACTTACGGGGCATAAACCCGTTCCATTTTTAGCTTTAGTTTGGACTATAAGTTTTTCCTTATTAAGTAAGTCGAGGTCCAGGTCTACTACTTGGTGGCCACCGAATGTTTGTCCGTCAGCTAAAAATACACATTAGCTTAGAGCTTAGGCGGCGTTCAGAGTTGGCGATCGTACGTGCGATTAAGTGATTAGGCAAGTAGGCGTGTAGGTGCATAGGCGATAAGATGATGATAAGTATCGATTTCTCTGCTCCACCTATTATGCGATCGCCTAACCGATCGATTGCCAACTCTCAACGCTGTCCTGGCACACATTTCTTGGTAAACATGGTTACAAGGCTTCTGTCAACCAAAGGGTGAGAGCGTAGCTGGAAAAGCACACACTTTGTCTTATTGGGACTAAGCAAAAGATAAAGAAAGAGGTGATAGTGTGCACTTGTGAGAGCTCCCAGACATCACTACAAAACGCTGAACCGCCAAGGCTCACGGTTGACAGATGTCCTGAGACCGGTAAACATACGAGAAATCACTCCATTGCCGATAAATTTGAGTTTTTTGGGGATCTTCGTTGATTTGTCCGGGGTGCAAATCGGTGTTGCCAATGACTCGGGTACGGGTTTATCCAACTCAGCTATTGCCACGTCGTGTAAATCTCTGCATCCATCTTGCCTTAGATAAATCTGAAAAACAAAACTGGTCAACCAGAGAAACTTGCTGAGGCCTGAGTGGTACCAGATTGCCCGTGTTTTGGTCCTATTTCCCGTGCTGTACTGAAGATGAGTCTCTACAATGAAGTGACTAAATATCCAGTGTTCTCTCCATTTTGAAGCTACTCACTTCCATTCAGGGTCAACCTCAGCTTGGCCATCTACAATCATTTTACGACCTCCCCTCAAGGGCTAAAAATGACCCCTCCCTCCACAACACCATCACCCTTACAAGGGAGGTCTTTCAGGGCAAGGTGCGCTTTTTCAAAACGGTTTCTTGCATATTGTAGGGACGCATGTAGGGAACGCAAAACCATGTTTCATTTTCGCTGAACGGTTATAGCAGTACCAAAAAGAAGCATAAGGTACTGTTAAGGGTTCGATCCCCCGTGGCGACTAAATTTTGCATTTGGGTTGGCGCCTACGGTTTGGTGCCAAATCGCGCTAAATATCAAAATCAGATGTCAAATTCATCGTCAGGACCATTTTGAAGCCAACAAGTGGCCGCCAACCTTGATTGCAAAATTTAGTCGCCGCGGGGATCGAACCATCAAGGTATTATTCACCACTTTTTTGGTACTACTAAAACCGTTCAGCGAAAACGAAACATGGTTTTGTGGTCCATACATGCGTCCCTACAATATGCAAGAAACCGTTCTGAAAAGCGCTCCTTGCCCTGAATCCCCTTGTTGGAGGGATTCTCTGAATTGGGTCGAGGGGGTGGGGTGGGGGGTGGGTCGTCAAATTATTGGATTAAAACAACGGACGGTTGATCCTGAAGCAGGGTGAATAACGGTCGAGGAAATCCTCGACAGGGGGTCGTATTTGCTCCGATGAGAGTTGGGAGGGGGTCGTAATCAAAAGGTTCATCAACGGACACAACGGTGCTGCTGCCACTTATTTGCTGTCATCATTAGTTTCACAAGTGTTGTACTTAGCCTAATGCAAATAACATCTTACAAGTGGTTGTTGGTTTGGTTCGTAGTGATCAGTATGGCATAGGAAGGCAACGCGTCCTGCAAAAGAATCGTAGGGAAAGGGCAGCGAGTATCTACTCTAGAATGATGCACATGCTTCGAGAACTTAGTGGAGGAACAGCATCTTGGTAGAAAGTTCAAAACAGGCAGATTCGCAGCCTTCTTGGCATCATCAGATCCTGCAACCGCAAGCTGTCATTCATCAGAACGGGTTGGAAAGGAAGCGATTTGAATAAAGGAATGATCAGACATCATATGACCACAAGAGTTATCCTAATTAGTTAATACTGGAAATATCTTTTGGTGTGCTTAAGCAAGTCGTCACTAGGACAAAACACCTTCCCAATGACTCCGAGTGGGGTCACTGCATGGCGCATACAAGAACGGAATGGATCTGCGCCAAGTGCATCATTTTCAATTTACTCCATCGAACTGACGTGTACAGAAGTATTTTGAAGGTGTTCAAAGAAGTTCCCTACTACGGCGAGGGAGTAATAGAGTTTTCGAGTGGCTTCGAAAATTTCCTTGACATTTCCTCGACGCAGATTTCTCGCGAACTAGAAAGCGTTCGAAACAACTGGAGCACCTATCAGAAAGCGTAAATCTTCTACTTTACAACGCTTTCCTCCGATTTTCAAAGCATTGCCAATGAAGACAGCTACTGTCTTCCAAAGAGTGGGAACTCGCATGTAAATTTCAATTTCCTCGACAATTCCTCGACGTCTCCCACTCTCGAGAATAGGCGTGCTTAGAAAAACGCTCAGCACAATTTAGAAACTAGAAGTCTTGTGCATTCAAAAGCTGCCTTCACTTTCTGAAATGGTTATCAATGAAGAAAGTTATAGTCCTTTGAAATAGGGGGTACATTTGACGATTTTTCCAACTAGCGCGCTCTAGGCACAGCGCGCGACGCGATCGCGGGTAGTTAGCGCCGCTATACTGGAGCGCGAGACTGTTCAACTGTGTAGGGGCAGTACCTCCTTCAATGTTCTACTTTCCGGCCAATGTGGCAAAGGTTAAATGTCTTTAAAGGAAAGAAGGAGAACCTAATCTGAGCAGAATTGAATCTAGCATTTGGATCAAGCCGCATTTGCGTGGCAGCGTGCGTCCTCTCGCACATCTGAAACTAGCATTTTTTGATATGAAACCGGATGTGCAGAGGACAAAAAGGGGTCGTATCAGAGTCCATGTTTTGGAGGGGGGTCGTAAAGAGGCGGTTATTTCCTCGACACGATTTTCACCCTGTCCTGAAGGCAAGCGATGGGATACAGTGCAACGTGCTGTGATGTATACGTTCTTAGACCAAACGAAAAACTTCTGACCGTAGCTGATGATCTTGTTTTAGGTTTGGGGCATGAGTGCGTGTGCTTGGCACATTCCGTTCCGAACCAAAACTTGAATGATTCCTTTGGAGTAGGTAGGGTCGTAATCCTGAATGATTGAATCAAATGTGACACATATTGGCCTCTCGCCATGAAACACAATTTAGGTGATTTTTAGGTACTTGTATCCATTGCACTTCTCCTTAGGACCGCTGAAGTTAGATGTGAAACAGTGAGCTGCTGTTAGCACGTGACGTTGAGATATAAGAGCTCCACTGCAGACAATATCTGAAACCATTTACTGAAATTTTTTTGCCTTTATTGCTTTTTTTGAAGATATCCTTGGGAAAAAGCAAATGGCTCTGTCCATTGCTTTTAATTCGGAGTTTATACGGTGAAAAGCAGCCCATCAGAAACCATGGGAGAGATAGTCGTGCAGGGATGACGAAAATATCATGCAAAACGGCCCATGACCCAAGGAATGGAACCCTTCCCTACCAGTTGATTTCCGCATAAATGCAACCCGGCTCCGAGACTTTCCTCAAGCGTTGGGGCGCGGCCGAGTCGGTAGCAGGGTGAGCAGCGGTTGAGGAAATCCTTGACAGGGGGTCGTATCTGCTCCAAAGGAGGGTCAAGCGTGACATAGACTAAGTAGTCCTGAAACGATAGAAGAAGAAGCCAGCCTGTGTAAAATTCGATTCGGATTTGAACCGCGAAGCATTTGCTTCTCAGCAACTCTGCCTCCCTCTCGTGGGTCTGAAGCTAGCATTCTTTTTTACTATAAAAGCGGATGTGTGAAGTGTAAAAGGTGGCGATATCGAAACGTCCATTAAGGGGGGGGGGAGTCGTAGAGACGCGCCCATTTCCTCGACACGATTTTCACCCTGGTTGGTAGTGCTTCCGCTCTGCAGGTGGCTGCGTTTACGGAGCGCGCGAACTCGGCCGCGCTCGCCGCGGCCACGCCCTAACGGTTGTGGAAAGCCACGGGGTCATGCGCCCCACATCGATGCCGCCCTCTTCAACGTAAACATTCTCTCTGCTCGGCCTGTGACTGACTCGTTCCTCGTTTTGAAGACGACTGTTTGATTTCGTTCCCAGTGTCCTCTATGATTCGCTCGTTTATCGGTGGCCTTCAGGAAGTTGTGGGTGTGGATCGACATTACAGATTTCTTGGGAATATCCTCGAAAGACCCAAAGCAACAACTACGGCAGGTTGGGTTAGAGTAGCCCGCGATTATCACATTTGTGCCGCGGCTCAAAAATGCGCCTTAAAAAGTGGACTTATAGCGACTAATCTCAACTTATGGACGAGTCACCTCGAGCACACCATGTGATACGCAGCGTGGATCACGACGTGATGGAGGCTAATTCAACCACGTGCGGGTTAGCCCTCGTTCATAGTCGCGACTCGGGAGATTAGGTAGTAGGCGATAGGATATTAGGATAGTAGTAGAGTAGGAGATTGCGCTGACAAGATTGGATACGTATCGATTGAAATCGCTGGAGAGTAGTAGATTGGGCGACTTCAAGCGAATAGATCAATCATATACATATACATATACACATATACATATCTAATCTTGTCAACGCACTATCCTAATCTACTACTATCCTAATCTCCTACTCTACTACTATCCTACTATCGTAATATCGCAATCTACTACTCTCCGGCGATTTCAATCGATACGTATCTAATCTTGTCAGCGCAATCTCCTACTCTACTACTATCCTAATCTCCCGTCAATACATATGTTTTTCATTGTCGCGTACTATCCTAATCTCCGGAGTCGCGAACTATGAACGCGGCCTTAGTGGAGCCATGGCGCAAAGAAATTCAGAAAACGTCCAGACGCGCCCTTCCTCATTTTAAGCAGGAAGAGAGGAAGCACTCATTGATGGTGCTCATCTGCTTTGCTCTGGTTCTTTGTTCAGTCAATTTTGCATACATAATTTCATTACCGACCGGTTTTATCCTACCAATTTGATCTGGGATTGGCGGCCGTGTAGCAAAAGAATCGTCCGGAGACCCGCGCTTATGGTCGCGGCCGCGACGCCGCGATGGCGGTGGACGAGTTTCATTCATTTCATTACAGGCGTCACTCAATTGTGAACGTTAAAGGGAGGCTAAACCGACTCCCCTTCAATATTTCAGTCAATATATGGGTGATTTCGGTTACAGCAGACCTTTTTCCTTTTCCCCTTCTCGTATAATGCGGAAATGAATTGTTTTGTTCCAGTTTTCTGCTTGTTCTGATTTAATGGTCTGAATTCTGACTTCGCTGAGGTAAACTGAGCTTTCCCGCGAATCTTACGCAGTGATGGAAGAAAAAGGTATATCATCAAGCAAAATGGACTTCAATGTCTGCTTGATTAATGTACTACAGCTATTTCTTTGCTCCAATCGACAAAGTCAATTATTGCCGCGCCCATCGAAAAAGTGCCGCATTACGGCGCCGCGCAAGTGACCGCGCGCGACGGCGCCACTCCCGGACGATTCTGTTGCACGCTCCCCGGGATTGGCTTCTGTCATGATGAACCATACAGGTGCGTTCAAGTTAGATGATAATAGTTTTAATCTGATGTTGACCCTGTACCAGCTATTAAAAGCGTCTGGCCTGATTTTGGTAGGATCCAGTCAAAATAGTGCAGCAGACAGTGAAAACTCATCTCCCTCTCTCATTTCGACCTTAACGCAAAGTTTAGCTTCGAAAAAGAGTTGAGAAAATGAATGAGAAAAGTGGAAAAGGAGAAAGGAGAAAGAATAGGTGCTACGTTCCGTGTCAACTGTATTGCCTTACCTCTTTCTATGAACACAGCCCATGGGTATTCGCCTTCTTTTGCAGGTCGCCCTCCAAATGACAATGCCATACTTTTTTCTGAAAGTGCTTATTGGGGAAAAAACGCAGAGACAACAACAATGTGATTTGATTCTGAAACCTACTAAGAGTTCTTGCCCCACAGATTTTTTGGCGCCGTTCATTTTCCTTAGGTGTGAGTTTTGATGAACAAACAAGTGGGACTAGAAACAACCAGAGCTTGATCCTCATGACTGCCCTAAAGAAAACGTTAAATGGCTATCCAGATAGTCACGTGAGATAAGTCCCATGCTTTTATGAGCATCTTCAAGCACTGATTTCGAATTAGCTTTCAAAATGTGCTCCGCGATTTTCCTGCTTAGAAAGTATGAAGCCGAGTAGCGCAGAAGTAGTTATCCGAGTCTCCAGGCAGGAGTTTGTGGGATCGGACTCTTTGAGAAGCTGCTCACTCGCTTTTACCGGCGACAGTTCTGAAAAGGCTGTTTACACGGTGGTCCATATAGGCTTTCCTATAGCTAGCCGTATAAGGGTTTGCCCCTCTTACCGTCTTTCTACCAAAGACATCCTCTGACGCCATCGGGACACACCACCCCCAGCTATCATAAACACCTGGCTCACTTGTCGTCCCGTTGATCATCGAATTGCTCGAGCGGGCGCCAGCAACGTCTCCATTCGTCCCTGTCGCGTGCTAGAGTGGTCCAGTGGATCCTCCTCGCTCGAGGGACACGAAGTCCTTCATTCCTTTCGTTCAGAGCTTTCGTGAAGAAGTCTGACCATCGGGCCGGCGGTCGTCCAGGTGTTCGTTTGACGTCCCGAGGGATCCAGTCGGTAACCGCTCTGGTCCAACGGTCATCGCAAAATCGCATGACGTGTCCGGCCCACCTTATCTTCGATTCCTTGGCGATCCCTGATCTTCGATCGTTGGCGTAGTTCAAAACTCCGGATTCCCCTCTGCACTTGCGTGTATAGGGTTACTCCTAGCATCGTCCTCTCGACAGCGCGTTGGATAACGCTGACCGCATGCTCGTCCTGCCTGCGCAGAGTCCAAGTCTCTGAGGCGTAGGTTAGGGCAGGAAGGACAGCGGAATCGAAGAGGTGGGCACGGAGCCGGATGTTCTTCGTCTTCTTCACTACTCCCTCGATGTTCTTGTACGCTCCCCATAGCCGCTCGTTTCCTCCTGCTTAGCTATGGAGCTAGGTCGTTCATCATGTTTCCGTTTCGCATAAACATCGTCTTCGTTAGGTTCAGCTGTAGACCGAACCTTACCACAGGCGCAGTCGAAATCAGCCAGCATTCGCTCCGCTTGCTCGATGTTCGGCGTTATAAGAACGATGTCGTCAGCAAAACGAAGGTGGTGTAGTTGCCGGCCGTCGACCTTCACTCCCATGTCTTCCCATTCCAGTTGACGCATGACGTTCTCGAGAGCGGCGCTGAAGAGTTTGGGCGAGATGGTGTCGCCCTGTCGAACCCCTCTCTTGACGTCGATGATGACCTCCTTGTAGAATGGTGAGATTCTGGTCGTAAAGTTGCTGTAGAGCTCACGAAGAATCTTGATGTACTGAGTAGGGACGCCCTGGTTGCCCAAGGCTTCGATGACCGCTTCTGTCTCCACAGAGTCGAAGGCAAGTCGATGAACGTGAGACAAAGCGGCATCTTGTACTCTCGTGATACTTCAGTAAGTCTTGTAACCGTGGTAGCTCGTGCCAAACGTTCTCCGAAAGCATGGCTGTCCTTCATGCAGTATTCTGCAAATGTTAGGGATGACTCTGGTGAATAGTACACAGATCACAGACAGCAGGCAGATTGGGCGATAGTTGCCAATGTCGTCCGTCTCCCTTCTTGTACAGCAACACGGTCCTGCTGGTTTTCCACGGAGTGGGTACCTTGCATTCCAAAAAGTAGCGCGTGGAGAGTCGAGCTTGAGCGAATGAAACCATATCATTTCTTTTGCCGGCTCTTGGGAGAATTCCGTGATCGGAAAGATCGACAAGGAAACTGTCGGCTCGTTGAACATCTGTGCCTTCCTGCCGCTATAGTGTGATAGCGGCAGGAAGGCAGAGTTTGCAAGTCAACGAATCTGTTCGGAAACTCTCGAGCTGATACGCCAACGTGGAGCCGCACGAGCTGCAGGCAATCACCGACTCACGTCCGAGCTTGCGAAGCTATGCAGAGAGGCGATAAAGGAAGATCTCAAGGAGCGAAGAGCAGCAGTATTAGCTGAAGCAGCAGAGGCTGGGAGGAGCATCCGCAATGCCCGCCGAAGCTTTGCCAGCTACAAGACCAAGATGACCTGCCTCCGACGTCCGGATGGAACAGTTACTGCATCCCGAAGGGCAATGGAGAAAGTCATCCACGACTTCTACTCGGATCTCTTCGATAGCCATGTCCATCTGCCCACTTATCAACTGCAACATGGATACGTCGTCCCCTCAGTTCTCTCTTCCGAAGTCCGACACGCCATCAAGTCGGTGAAGAATCGTCGAACACCATTCTTGACAAGGATGAGCCAGAAAAGTGTGAAGAAAGCACCGCCAGTTATCATCGAAATCCGAATCGAAGTCAACATCTGCCTCTGAAGATGATCTTGAGCATGAAAGTGGAAGCGACGAAGGGAACGCTGATCTGCGGTTCGAAGAAGTTGGTCTGCAAGACCGATTCTCCTTTCAATGAAGAAGATGGACTGTATCGTAATGTTGCTGAGACAGCAGAGATGTCGGTCTCGCTACAGTACCCTTCCGGTAGAACGTGACCGTTACCACATTTATTGCATATAGAAAAGTGGGAACTTGAGGTAACTCATGAGGGCTTGCCCGACATCGGGCTACACCCCAAGTTATTGAAACCCCACGCACTATTGTCCCACGTGGCAGAAAAGATGTCGCGCGACGTCGGGTGCCATTGTCGGGAATGTGTTAGTGACGCTGGCACATGTGACAGATCTCGCACTGAACAAATGTGACATTACTCAGGGAATTAAAGTACCTCATGGAGAATTCCAAGCAAATCTGAAGTTTTGACTCAGCAACAAAAAGGTGGGAGCACCAATTATAATTAGTTATACGGGGTGGGGGAAGGCACCACGATTCTTCTATCTTTCAAGTTGGGTCAGAATCCCGCATTTGTCGATTTTGTTTGAGCAATGAGAGAAGAGCCCGGACAGCAGGAGTTACGCATAAGGTGATCCGAGGAAAGTTTCAGTGGAGGTGTCAACGAGGAGTCTCAGATACCTACCCAAATGAAGCAAAACGGCACTGGTGCAGTTATGGGGTAGAGGCCGAGCACATACAAAGAGCCCATACGGCCAGTCTTTCCTCCTAGTCTGTGCCTTAGGGTGCTAAGGTAAGGAGTGTCAGCAATTTCCATGTTCTCTGTTTCTCCTCGCTGCGCGCTCCATCCACCAATCGTATATGACCTTCCTTCCTTTGTCAGACTCTCTCCTCTTTTACGGTCTCTAGCACATCTTGGAACCGAGTCATAACGTTTTTGGATAACTTTGCCTTCATTGGTGCAAACCTCCCATCTATAGCTGTTGAGCTCCCATCCGTCGAACTCTACCCATTTCCTTCAAGGTCTCCGTGATCTCTCAGAATCGCGTTATTAATGCTTCATGGACAACTGCGCCCACATTGTCGCAGCCCCTCCCAAGTATAGCTGTTGACATCCCTTCCTTCGCCGACCTCTGCACACTTTTTTCCGGTCTCCAGGTCTTCTTGCAACCGAGTAATAATGTTTCGTGGATAACTTCACCCACATTGAAGCGTACCCCGCCCAACACCTACAATTAACTCGCCCCATCTCAGCTATCCATTTTTTGCGCCCTCCAGATCTTCTTGAACCGAATTATGAGGAACTGTAGGAAACGCTGCCCACTTCGGGCAAGCTCCGCCCATTGTGGGAATCTACGCCCACGGCGTGTATGCTGAGACTATCTTAAACACTGCTTCCTTACCTCTATTTTTCTTCTTTAGGCATTCTCTGAACCGAGTTATGAATTTTTTAGTTTACCCTCCGCTTTTTTTTGAGAACGCCCCGCCCACCGAAAGGTGGGTCTCCCTAATTCGATCTGGCTTACCAATGCACACCTTTACCCACTTTTTCCCCAGTCTCGAGGCTGTTTTGTGACTGAATTTGAAATCTTGGTCCTCAGTACCACTCATTTCGACGCACGCCACGCCCACTGTGGGCGGGGCTCCGCTTAGCTGATGTGTGTTTTGTACTTCGTGAGACCTTGCCCACCCATCCCACACTTGACCCGGTCCCTCCAGGCGGATCCCGAGGAGCTAGGGAATTTCGTGACAGACAGACATAAACACAGAACGACAGACGACAGACGGACAAACAGATAGACAAGCAGACAGACAAATGAAACGCTTCACAGTAAATAGGATCTTCGCCTACGATCCTAATCTCCGAAATCACAAACTATAAATGCTAGCCCCCAGCAAGACTGGATTCAAGTTCACGTGGGCAGGTGACGGTGACGAACGGCTTTTCGTCTGTGTGACCAGGATGGTAGGCAAGATTCAAGGGGACGTCATTTCAAACCCATAGATCGTATAGGTATCAGCTTTAGGCAGCGTAGTTGGCCGCACATGCGACTAGGCGATTGGACGATTAAAGGAAGCGATTACGATAAGGAATTTTCGCATCGGGGGAGAACCTGCGCCACACGGAGCAATTACTTGGCTGCCAAGGAAGCGATGTGTGGCGAAAGGTGCTGTGGTTGCTGAGCAGGACCCGCGTGACGCCCGCCCCCAGTGACGTGACGCCCACTAGTTTTGTTGATGATCTGGATGGACTGTTTGCTGTTGGCTTTTCATTTTGGATGATCATTTCCCTTCTAGCGGCTGTATCTTTACAACTTCGTTCTTTACCTTCGCTCATCCATGGTCGAAAATGAAAGGGCAATCAAAGGGGTACTATTTTGCTTATTTTTGACGGATTTCTTTGCTTTTTTCGCCATTGGCGTACTATTGAGACCCCCACGTCCCCTCTAAACCCCTTTGAGATCTATCGTAATCGCTTCCTTTAAGAGATGATTCAAAAAGAATGTGTGCGTATCGATGACGAATTAGTTGAGTAGGCGTTCAGGCTTGTTGGCAAGAAGGCGACAAGAAGAGTATGTATCGATTTGCACCACCCAGTGAGTCGATTACTCGCGTA